TTGAAAGTCAATAAAGTTGAGTAAAAAGGTCGAGCGCCCCTTCTAGGGAGGGTCGCACACCTACAATATTCAGTATGTCTCTCCACCTCTTAAACCACCTGCCGTAGTTGCTGAGAGCACTTTGGAAAATTTTTAAGCCAGCATTTCTATGTTAGTTTATGTAACTAATAATTGCACATGATAAAAATAATATTAAGTGACCAAGAGTCTCCCTCCCACCCCCAGACCTCACCCCTTGGTCTCCCATTCCAGGGGCAAATGCCATGACAAGTTTTCTGTGTATCCTTTGCAAAGTCACTAAACAATCAGAAGGCATTATATTTATTGTCTATAGAATGTGCATTTATGTACAGCCTAAAAGAAATATGCCACCCCATTTCTCCTGACTCTGGTCATTCAATTAATTTAACTGGAAGCTGGTACCAGGCATGTAGTGAAAATGAAAGTTGTTCAGTTGTGTCCGACTCTTTGCTACCCTATGGACTGCTGCCTGCCAGGCTCCTCTGTCCATGGGATTCTCCAGGCAAGAATACTGGAGTGGGTTGCCATGCCCTTCTCCAGGGGACTTTCCTGACCCAGAGATTGAAGCTGGGTCTCCCCCATTGCAGATTCTTTACCGTCTGAGTTACCAGGGAATCCTTGGTGCCAGGCATACAAGGACCCAATAAAGCAGCTGTGACTTTCAAGGAGATCTTATGAATCAGAAGGACTTGGGGCAGCATTTGCAGAAAAAGCATTAAACACAGAGAGCTTGTGTTGGTGGCCCAGATGCCCCATAGTCTCCCATTTGGTCCTGGCACACCCACTGCTCGTGCCATCTGGCGGCAGTGGCTGGTTTCCCAGGTGCTCCTGCAGGGTTGGTCCCAAAGCTGCCAAGGCAAGTCTAAGCTTACCTTCCTTGTGGGAAGAGAAATTCTCCTCCTCAAAGTCCCCAGTAGGACCCCAGAGGCCAACCCACAGCTGGGTTGACCACTAGCCTGGAGCAAGTCTCATGAATGCTTTCTTTCCAAGGTGCTTGGGATTCCCACCCTAGCATCACTGGACTGGACCTTAGAATACCCTTTCCAGACTCCCTCTCCCACACCACCCATCCTCGTCATGGGGACTTCTAACCTCGTGGGGGTGTGAACACACCAAGGACCAGGCGCTCCTTTCCTGGGCAGCCCACTCAGTGGTCATAGAACTCACATGGTGAGAAAGCTCTTCCCTCTACTTGACGACACATGTGGCCCAGGGACACCCATCCTCTGTTTCCAGGGCAGGATTATCCAACAGGCCGACCATCAGGGCTGTTGGAACAGCAAAGTGGGGGCATCTGAAAGCATAAAAACAATTTCAAAGGACACTGATATGTGATAACTATTTTTAAAAAGAGAAGGGAAAAAAGTACTAAAGTGGTTCATGAGAAAACTCAGAACTTTATTGGACTTCTTTTACTTGTTTTTAGTAATCAGATGCTTAATTTTGTATTACCTTTGGGGGGAGGGTGGGCAAGAAATACCTTTAGAGGCTTAAGACTTCAAAAGATCTTAAACAATGTTCCTGGATTCCTTTACCCAGAGGAAGTGTCCCCCACCAGACAGCCTCTCAAATATCTGATGACTTCTTCCGCTCTCACACTCAACCTTCCTTGCAGTTTGTCAACCTCCAGGAAGCCCTTCTGAGCAACTGGGAGAGGACTGGGGCTTCCCCCGAGGCACACAACCCCATCTGTGTTTATCTTTCCACACGGAGTCCTGACCCCTGGGCTTAGAGACAGCAGTATGCCTTGAGTGGGTGCCCATGAGGTGCCCACGGGGTCACTGACTACTCCTTGCTTCATGGCTGAGGCTTGAACGTCCGCCCACCTGTCCCCATCAGTCTTACATCACCCGTCTGGGTGGGGGTCCTGGGATGGGGTCCTGGTTTGCCTCCTTACCCAGCCCCAGGACAACCAGGGTCCCATTGGGCTCTCTGTAGCAGGGGTGTGGAACAGGGTGGAAGCAGAGAGCTTGCGCCCCTCAGCCTGGTAGGCTAAGGGCATGGGAAGGGGTGACTAAGTTTCCCTAGCAACGGGGAGTGGTGGGGGGTCATACATACCATGGCTCTTATTACTAAACAGGGCATGGCAGAGTCAGGGCTCCGGAGCACAGGGAACCCTGAATGAAACAGGAAGTGGTCACTGTGATTCAACCACGGAGCTTTTTCCTGAGTGTCATCTGTTGGGAGTGACACAGCTTTGGGGAAAAGTCACTATGCTGAGGTGGGGGGAATGGGTGGGTAGGGGGATGTTCAAGGTATGGGCCAGGGCTGCCACAGAAACTGGGTGGTGAAACCCGGGAGGACAGCAGCATTGTTGCCTGTAGCATTGTTGCCTCCAGTGAGCCAGCCAACACCAATCCCAGCCATGTGGGGAAAAGTTTTTCTGGAGAGGAGATGGCTCCCAGGAGACCGCATCTCTCTGCCTTCCTGGAGTCAGAGACCCTATTTACTAAAGCTACCATTGGTACAGGTTACTTGACTTCTCTGAGCCTCTATTTCCTTAACAATATAATGGGAATAATAATGAAGTCCACTAAGTTTTGTTACTTGTTACCACTAACAGCTTTGTCCTGGGACTGCAAGGAGATCCAACCAGACCATTCTAAAGGAAATCAGTCCTGAATATTCACTGGAAGGACTGATGCTGAAGTTGAAACTCCAATACTTTGGCCACCTGATGTGCAGAACTGACTCATTTGAAAAGACCCTGATGCTGGGAAAGATTGAAGGCAGGAGGAGAAGGGGACAACAGAGGATGAGATGGTTGAATGGCATCACCCACTCAATGGACCTGCATTTGAGTAAACTCCGGGAGCTGGTGATGGACAGGGAGGCCTGGCGTGCTGTAGTCCATGGGGTTGCAAAGAGTTGGACACGACTGAGTGACTGAACAGCTCTGTTGTCAAAATCAAATAAGATGTTATATTTATCATTTAAAAAGGCGATTGGTATATGGTAGGCAGTAATAAACAATAGCTGTTATAATTTTGTATTTATTATAATCAAGGACTCCCAGAGGTGGACATCTTAACCTGAATAATCCATTTTGAAGAAAAGAAATCTGAGGTGTTAAGAAGGTAGTGATGTTTCCAAAGTCTCACATTGCTAACCAGAGGCACACCTATGTCTGGAACTGAGGTCTCCTGCTTCTTTGCCCCTTTCCCTCTCTCTCTCGCCCCCTGCCCCCTGCATCCCTCCTTCTTCATCATCTACCACTAACTGGGTTCCTGTTACATGCCACCCATTTAATGTATATGATATCAATTAAGTCTCAGAGAAGGTAGGCAAAATTGTTCCATCTTTCAGATACCATGTCACTTAGCATGCTTCCATCCATCTTCTCATCAATTCCTTTAAAACTCTTCGCCCAGCACCCCCTCCAGGAAGTCATCTTTGATTAAATCTTCCCCAGGATTCTACTCCCTCCCAAACAACCCTGCCCTCCCAACTATTAGCTGACAGTCTGATTTAGCAGATACATCTTGCAATCATCAACAACCAATGTAAACATATGTGGAAGGACAAGCATATGAAGGACAAGGTCCTTCAAACATGGGCCTTACAAACTATAACTTTAAAAAACTATTTAAAATACTCTTATCATAAACATAAAGTAATAGCCATCATTTTTTTGAGTATTTATTTTATGCCAGACTCTCTTCTGAGTGATTCACATGGAACATCTTTTACGATTTTGGTTTTTACGATGTGGACCATTTTTAAAGTCTTTATTGAATTTGTTACAAAACTGCTTCTGTTTTCTGTTTTGGTTTTTTGGCTGCAAAGCATGTGGGATCTCAGCTCCCAGACCAGGGATGGAACCCACACCCTCTGCACTGGAAGATGAAATTGTAACCAGTGGCCCCCCAGGGATGTTCCCACATGGAATATCTTTAGGTGTGCATTTATAATATTCTCAGCAAACGAGAAGAATTCCTCAGAAGTTCCCTTTCTTCCAAGGTGTTCCTTGGCTCTGAGCAGCTCTGCTGAGGCAGCTTCAGCTTGTGGGCATCTTCTGCCCTTGGGAGAGGCCCAGGGTGGGGGACACAGAATAGAGGTGGGCAGATACCCTGGGCACATCCAGGGACAACTGGCCAAATACATTCATTGTGTCGTGAACGTATTTCTGAGGGAAGATCTGACCCCTCTGGGTTTTCCAGGAGGCACTAGTAGTAAAGAACCTGCCTGCCAATGCAGGTTACACATGAGAGACATGGGTACGATCCCGGGCTTGGGAAGGTCCTCTGGTACAGGGCATGGCAACCCACTCCAGTATTCTTGCCTGGAGAATCCCATGGACAAAGGAACCTGGCAGGCTGCAGTCCACGGGGTTGCACAGAGTCAGACACCACTGAAGCAGCTTAGCACCCACGCATGCTGCCCGCTCTGGTTTGGGTCTTATTCTCCTGTTCTTGTGTCGGCTGGAGGGTAGTTCACCAGCCCCGGATCCTTTGAGGACCCTTCTCAGCCCAGTGCACCCTGCACTGCTCTCTCCTCTCCCTGATCTCTGAGACCTGCTCACGCACCACTCCTTCCCCTGCCTCCTCACCCTGTCTGTCCTGCACCAGAGAACTCTGCTGTCCTTCCCCTCCATAACCCCAGCTCTCATACAGCCGTACCTCTGCACATTTCCTTCCCTGCCCGACTCTCCCCCGCACCCCCTGGCTGGCTTCCTGAGGACACTCACAGAGAATTAAATAAATACCCCATGTGGGCTTCTCTCCTCTGATCAAACTGTGGGCTCCTCAAAACAGAGGCTGAGATTTAATCTTAACAAAACTTGATTCACAAAAATAAACTGCAGGCCTATGGGCCATAGTTTAGCATGTGAGTTTTTAAAAACATTGCATTAAAATATTATCTTTTTGGCACTCCACCCTTCCCTTAGGTTTTAGGACTCAAAGCAAGTACACAACCCTCCTCGCATTGTTCCCTGTCCTGTTTGTTTGTATCATCAGAGCCCAGCACAGTACCTGGAGGTCAGCTCAGTTCTCACAGTTGGATGAATGAATGGATGAATGGATGAATGAAGCAGAAAGGACACTGGCTTGGGGATCGAGAGCTCTGAGGTCCAGGCTCTGCCACTCACTATGTGACCCAGGAATATTCCTTTATGCTGCAGAGCTGTTTTCTCATCTGTAATATGTATAGGCTGTGTTAGGATTCCTTCTGCAACCATTCAACAAACATTTGTTGATAAAGTTATGGCTCAGATGTAAAGAGGGGGATGTTACCCAGTTCATTTCCCTGGAGGTACTTAGAGCTGAATTAATTTATTAATAGTAAATCTCTGAGCCTCAGGCTTTTCCTCTGGAAAATGGGATGATGCTTGCCTGGGGCTGTCATGAGGCTCAAATGAGAGAAGGCAGGCATTCTGCATTTTATTACTCCAAGCCCTCTCAAATCTTGAGCCCTATGACTTGTTTCACACTTTTCTATAAACCAGTTTCACACTTTTCTATAAACAAAAACACTAACATCACACCCTTATTCTGGTTTTGGGGAGCAACTGAGTGTCAAGATTTCAACCCTGCCTGGGTACTTACTAACTGCATGTCCTTGGGCAAGTTACTGAGCCTCTCAGAACCTCCATTTCCTCATCTGATGAGTGGAAGTGACAGTTAAGTGTTCTCCCACCTCACAGCATGGTTGCGAAGGTGACCAGAAATTGCCCCATTTCGAGTGAATTAAAAACTGAAAATGCCACATTTGGGAAGTGATCTGAGGACTTCTGCCGTGATGAGGTCTTATGCCCTCCTACCCTCCCTCCATCACCTGCTCTCAGAAAGGGAATAGAAAGTACCACTTACTGACACGGGAAGTGATCCCCCCTAGGCGAAGCTTAATTTTTAATTGGCATCAAAGTCTGAAAGTAGAAGAAGTGATGTGGCATTTCAGGTGCTGGGGAGGGAGTAGGAGGAGAGTTTAGGGGGCCTGAGAGCCTTTCTGAGTCACTGAAATCGCAGGCAATAAACAATGTCACGGAGAGTGCTTCTGAAATCTTCCGCCACTGTCATTCAGTCATTTCTCACAGAAAATTCAAGTAGAGCAAGCAATTCACTTCTGCTTGGACCTCAGCTCCCAGCCACGTGACAGGAGGAAGTTGGGCAAGGAGGCCTCTGAGCCCCCGCTACTACCAGGTTCTAATGGTATTTCGGAAGGGCGGGAGGTGTGGCTGAGAGGGCAAAGGACGATTTCATTTCCCTTTGCCCTCCTCAGTCACCCTTCTGGTCACTTCACTCCCACACCGGTGGCCAGGGCAGAGCCAGGGTAGGTTGGGGTGCATCCTCTGCCCGCCACCGCACCCTCGGAGCCCTCCCAGGTGGGGCGAGGGTGCCCATCTGCGCAATCACTGCCCAGGAATGCAGCTGGGGCAGTTCCCACGGGGCTCCCAGCTCTGGGTGGGACCCTCTCCTCGGCCGGACGATCAGAATCACACTCGGCAAAATATTAATTATTGTTGCTTCCAAAGCCCCACTACCGGCAGATGCCGGGCCCTGCCCAGGAAGTTCAAACAATCAGCGTCTCTGGCATTTTAGTCACCCCCGGTTGGAGAGCCGGGTCGGTCGTGTGATCCCCGTCCCCTCCTTAGATGAGAGCACTTCCTGGAACCCAGCCTGGGACCCACAGGTGCCCGGAGGCTGGCGGGGGCTGGGGCAGAGTTGGGGTGTGTGTGTAGGTGGGGAATGTAAGGTGAAGACGAGAAGAATAGGAAAGTTTCCAGGAAAAGAGAATAAACACGGTCTAAGTGAACTTATCTAGGATTCTCCTTTTTTCCAGAAGATGTAAGAAAATCGCCCTGAGTCCCAAGCTGCCAAAAGGCAGAGCGGAGGCACTTCCCAGTGCACTAATGGCAGGTAATTTCACAGGCAGGATGAACCACCCCAGTCTAATCAGTGGTTGAGCATATTGGGAACGTGAGAAAGCAGTGGGCAGGCCAGCCCTTTCCAGGTGACTGTGGGGCTGTGGAGCTCATACTCTTGGTGGCAGTGAAAATGCCCTGTCAAAATTCAGTGAGGTGGTACAGGTCCTGCAGGGTCTTGTCCCCTGACCTGCATCAGATTTGTGGGAATTTTAGGAAATGGTCTCTTGAAAGTTTCTTGGGACAAATTGCTTAATTGATGTCAATTAACTATCAGTTGATACTCCAAAGAAGCATTCCAGAATCAGAAACAGTTTCTGCAAAAAACACTCATAATTTGGCAGACCGCGGCGCCCGATGGGAGTCTTTATGGCGGCCGAGCGCAAAACTAAGTTGTCCAAGAACTTGCTGCGCATGAAGTTCATGCAAAGGGGACTGGACTCGGAAACCAAGAAACAACTAGAAGAGGAAGAAAAGAAAATCATTAGTGAAGAGCACTGGTACTTGGATTTGCCTGAGCTGAAAGAGAAAGAGAGTTTCATTATAGAAGAGCAGAGTTTCTTGTTGTGTGAAGATCTTCTCTATGGAAGAATGTCATTCAGAGGATTTAATCCTGAGGTTGAGAAATTAATGCTTCAGATGAACGCTAAGAACAAAGCAGAAGAAGTTGAAGAGCAAACAGTGGAGCTCGATGTGTCAGATGAAGAAATGGCTAGAAGATATGAGACCTTGGTGGGGACAATTGGGAAAAAGTTTGCCAAGAAAAGAGACCGTGCCCTTTACGAAGAAGATGAAAATGGAGACATAAAACCAATTAAAGCAAAGAAGATGTTCTTAAAGCCCCAGGATTAAAGTGGAGGCCTTAAGATATGGCTCAGGGATGAGAGCATCTTTTGGAACTCACTCTGTCAGTTCCTCTATAGTGATTAGGGTAGTAATGTTTATTTGTAAAGAAATGTATACTTTTGGAAACATGCTGTTTTTGAAACAGACGTGTGATAGATGTTATACATCCTTTGCTTAGCGGTGTTCATCAAGAGTGGACTTTTAACCCTTGGTCTTCAAATGTACATAGGTGTGTGGTAGCTTCCTAAAGAATATTTTATCTCAGATTTTTTTTCTAATATAACTCTCCAGTCGCAAACCTTAAACTGAACTCATGAAAACTAATACCAGTGTTTAAATTGCCCTTATGTTTATAAACATGTCAAGTCAGTTCATACATATATTTTGGAATCATGTCATGAGAATTTATTATATGTTAATTCATTAAGAACAAACTTGCCTCTTTGGGCTAAGAATTTTCATGCTACAAAGTCAATGTCAATGTGTGGAATTATGTTTTTTGTTGTTGTTTAAGCCTTTAATTAATTTTTAGACATTGTTCTATAATAAATACCTGTTTTCATATAAAAAAAACACTCATAATTTGTAGATGCATGTACCCCCTACCCCTCTAAAAACTGGAAACAATACTTGGGGAATGAGCCTATTCACTCCACAGGATATTTCACAGTTCATAAGAATGATGATTGCAAAGAGTCTTTAATAACATAAGGAAATGCAGAAGCTGTAAAGTAGGATACACAACTATACCCACAGGGTGATCACAGCTGTTCGAAAGGAAAAAAGGGAAGAAAGAACCCAAACCAATACATAGAAAAGAGGGTGGCAGGAAACACCAAATTGTTGACAGTGGTTTTCTGTTGGTGGTGGGTAATTTCATTTTCTTCTTTCAACTTTTCAGTATTTTTTAATCTATCTATGGCATATATTACTTTATAGTGAAAACTATCCATGTTTTACTTTAAAAGAGAGAAAGTGGATTATAATAGTAATAATAATAAACAATAGCAACAACAATAATAGTAAACTAACATCTACTGAGCATTTACTGGGTATCTGTATTAAGCAAGCACTTCACCTATTTTTGTTTTAAATCCTCATAACTATCCTATGAGGTGGACATTATTAATGTGTCTATTTTACAAAAGCTCTGAGATGTTAGGGCATGTCCACAATGTTGAGTTTTGGGCAGTCCAGTCTCCAAAGCCCCCCTGGCCTGTGTGCAAGACTTGCCTTTATATGTTAACTATCACAGAAGTCCAAAGGCAAATCCTCCTGCTTCTAGCTTTCTGGTAACGGGTGTGGGCACGTGACCTGAGGCTTGGGCCCTGGACCCGGAGCACTAGAGAGTTAGAACACTGTCTGCCTTGATAGCTGGCTGCAATAGCATCATTAGTGTCCTGACTGAGTACTTCCTGGCCAAGGGATGGTTTTGTGCCTTCTGCTGCTCTGGGCCTTGAACGTGACCTTAATTTCTGCTCCTTTCCCAAGTCTGACCCTTTTGAATCCCTGCCCATTCTATTGCATTGGATTCCTTTTTTAAAAACAATTTTTTAGATCATTGGGTCCATCTCTGTGGCTTGTTACTAAGAGTTCTGACTGGTGTTGGTGATTTTCCTGCAGTCTCATAGCAAATGATGGAAGCAGGACCCCAATCCTGACCTGTCCATCCAGGGCGGAAGCCCTCAACCAAACCTTTTGTCACTAATACTTCGAGCTTCCCCAGAGTGTGATAAACATTTCCTGAACTCCTAGAAAACAAACCGGAAACACCAGCTTGAAGTTTTTCTCCGAAACTGGCAGCCCCCCGCCCACTCTGTTGCATGGGAGCCTGGCAAGCTGATCAACTAAAGGGCAGGAAGCCTGACACAAAAGCCAGGTCAGGGTGGAGCCAGCTCCAGCTTCCAGTGACTGGGGCGCGTGGGCCTGGGGAGGAGAGGAAACAGAGGCGTCTCAGGCCTCACTGGCACTTCCTGGCCGGTGCCTGAGGACTGACTCAGCATCCACTGTCCTCAGCCTGGAGGCCTTCTTTGACCTTTGGAGGCTGGGAGAGGAGTTTGACTCTCATGGCACCTTACATCCTCTTCTCCCACGCCAGGTTGATAGCTTGTTTACACGTCCACCCCCATGCAAGTGTGGACTTCTAGAGGTCAGGGACAGAGTCTTTCCCACCCTGAATTCCTCTCGCCTGGTGCATCACTGTTGTTGGAGTGAATGAGAGAATAAGCGTATGAACAGTTTTCCCCATTCCCGTGCTAAGCGGTGGGAAATCTTAAACCCTGGACTTTTCCAAGGCATCGCGGTAAACTAGAACAGCCATGGACTTTGGAGCTGACAAATTTTGTTTCAGAACATGACTCTTGGGACTTCCCTGGCAGGCCAGTAGTTAACACTGCACTTCCAATGCAGAGGATACAGGTTCAATCCC